CACTCACTCACACACTCACTCATAGACTCATAGACTCACCACTCACTCACTCACACACTCACTAACACACTCACACACTCACTAACACACTCACTCACTCACACACTCACACACTCACTCAGTTACTCACTCACTCAGTCAGACACTCACTCACTCACACACTCACTCACCACTCACTCAGTCACTCACTCACACACTCACTCATAGACTCACACACTCACTCACTCACACACTCACTCATAGACTCACTCACACACTCACTCACTCATAGACTCACTCAGTTACTCACTCACTCACTCATAGACTCACTCACTCACTCACACACCCACTCACTCACTCACACACTCACTCACTCACTCATAGACTCACCACTCACTCACTCACTCACTCACTCACACACTCACCCACTCACTCACACACTCACTCAGTTACTCACTCATAGACTCACTCACTCACTCATAGACTCACTCACACACTCACACACTCACTCACTCACACACTCACTCAGTCACTCACTCACACACTCACTCATAGACTCACACACTCACTCACTCACACACTCACTTACACGCTCACTCACTCACTTACTCACTTACATACTCACTCACTCACACACTCACTCACTCACTCACACACTCACTCACTCACACACTCACACACTCACTCACTCATTCATAGACTCATCACTCACACACTCACTCACTTACACACACACTCACTCACTCATAGACTCACTCAGTTACTCACTCACTCACTCACACACTCACTCACTCACTCATAGACTCATAGACTCACCACTCACTCACTCACTCACACACTCAGTTACTCACTCATAGACTCATAGACTCACTCACTCATACACTCACTCACTCACACACTCACTCAGTTACTCACTCATAGACTCACCACTCACTCACTCACTTACACACTCACCACTCACTCACACATAGACTCACCACTCACTCACCCACTCAGTCACTCACACACTCAGTTACTCACTCATACACTCACTCACACACTCACACACTCATAGACTCACCACTCACACACTCACACACACACTCACTCACTCACACACTCAAACACTCACCCACTCACTCACCTCACCTCACTCACCCACTCACCACTCACTCACTCACCCACCCACCCACTCACTCACCCACTCACCCACCCACTCACCCACCCACTTACTCACTCACCCACCCACCCACTCACTCACTCACTCTCTCACTAACACACTCACCCACCCACTCACCCGCTCACCCACTCACTCACTCACTTACCCACTCACTCACTCGCCCACCCACTCACTCACTCGCCCACCCACCCACTCACTCACCCACTCACCCACTCACTCACCCACTCACTCACTCACCCACTCACTCACCCACCCACTCAATCACCCACTCACTCACTCACCCACTCACTCACCCACTCACTCACCCACACGCTCACCCACACGCTCACCCACTCACCCACTCACTCACCCACTCACCCACTCACTCACCCACTCACGCACCCACCCACCCACTCACTCACCCAATCACCCACTCACTCACTCACCCACCCACTCACTCACCCACTCACCCACCCACCCACTCACCCACCCACTCACTCACCCACCCACTCACTCACTCACACACTCACTCACTCACACACTCACACACTCACTCACTCATTCATAGACTCATCACTCACACACTCACTCACTTACACACACACTCACTCACTCATAGACTCACTCAGTTACTCACTCACTCACTCACACACTCACTCACTCACTCATAGACTCATAGACTCACCACTCACTCACTCACACACTCAGTTACTCACTCATAGACTCATAGACTCACTCACTCATACACTCACTCACTCACACACTCACTCAGTTACTCACTCATAGACTCACCACTCACTCACACATAGACTCACCACTCACTCACCCACTCAGTCACTCACACACTCAGTTACTCACTCATACACTCACTCACACACTCACACACTCATAGACTCACCACTCACACACTCACACACACACTCACTCACTCACACACTCAAACACTCACCCACTCACTCACCTCACCTCACTCACCCACTCACCACTCACTCACTCACCCACCCACCCACTCACTCACCCACTCACCCACCCACTCACCCACCCACTTACTCACTCACCCACCCACCCACCCACTCACTCACTCTCTCACTAACACACTCACCCACCCACTCACCCGCTCACCCACTCACTCACTCACTCACTTACCCACTCACTCACTCGCCCACCCACTCACTCACTCGCCCACCCACCCACTCACTCACCCACTCACCCACTCACTCACCCACTCACTCACTCACCCACTCACTCACTCACTCACCCACCCACTCAATCACCCACTCACTCACTCACCCACTCACTCACCCACTCACTCACCCACACGCTCACCCACACGCTTGCCCACTCACCCACTCACTCACCCACTCACCCACTCACTCACCCACTCACGCACCCACCCACCCACTCACTCACCCAATCACCCACTCACTCACTCACCCACCCACTCACTCACCCACTCACCCACCCACCCACCCACTCACTCACCCACCCACCCACTCACTCACCCACCCACCCACTCACTCACACACTCGCTCACCCACTCACTCACTCACACACTCACACACTCACTCACTCACCCACCCACCCACTCACTCACTCACTCACCCACTCACTCACTCACACACTCACTCACTCACCCACCCACTCACTCACCCACCCACTCACCCACCCACTCACCCACTCACTCACTCAGTTACTCACTCATAGACTCATAGACTCACTCACTCATACACTCACTCACACACTCACTCAGTTACTCACTCATAGACTCCCCACTTACTCACTCACTCACTTACACACTCACCACTCACTCACACATAGACTCACCACTCACTCACCCACTCAGTCACTCACACACTCAGTTTCTCACTCATACACTCAGTCACACACTCACTCACCTCACCTCACTCACCCACTCACCACTCACTCACTCACCCACCCACCCACTCACTCACCCACTCACCCACCCACTCACCCACCCACTCACTCACCCACCCACCCACTCACTCACTCACTCTCTCACTAACACACTCACCCACTCATCCACTCACCCACTCACTCACTCACTTACCCACTCACTCACTCACTTACCCACTCACTCACTCGCCCACCCACTCACTCACTCGCCCACCCACCCACTCACTCACCCACTCACTCACTCACTCACCCACTCACTCACCCACTCACTCACTCACCCACTCACTCACTCACCCACTTACTCACTCACTCACCCACTCACTCACTCACTCACCCACTCACCCACTCACTCACCCACTCACGCACCCACCCACCCACTCACTCACCCAATCACCCACTCACCCACCCACTCACCCACCCACTCACTCACCCACTCACACACCCACCCACCCACTCACTCACCCACCCACCCACTCACTCACACACTCGCTCACCCACCCACTCACTCACACACTCACACACTCACTCACCCACCCACTCACTCACTCACCCACTCACCCACCCACCCACTCACTCACCCACTCACTCACCCACACACTCACTCACTCACCCACACACTCACACACTCACCCACACACTCACTCACTCACCCACCCACTCACTCACTCACTCACCCACTCATTCACTCACTCACTCACCCACTCACTCACTCACCCACTCACTCACTCACCCACTCACTCACCCACCCACTCACTCACTCACCCACTCACTCACTCACCCACTCACCCACTCACCCACTCACCCACTCACTCACTCACCCACTCACCCACTCACCCACTCACTCACTCACTCACCCACTCACTCACTCACTTACCCACTCACTCACTCGCCCACCCACTCACTCACTCGCCCACCCACCCACTCACTCACCCACTCACCCACTCACTCACCCACTCACTCACTCACCCACTCACTCACTCACTCACCCACCCACTCAATCACCCACTCACTCACTCACCCACTCACTCACCCACTCACTCACCCACACGCTCACCCACACGCTCACCCACTCACCCACTCACTCACCCACTCACCCACTCACTCACCCACTCACGCACCCACCCACCCACTCACTCACCCAATCACCCACTCACTCACTCACCCACCCACTCACTCACCCACTCACCCACCCACCCACTCACTCACCCACCCACCCACCCACTCACTCACCCACCCACCCACTCACTCACACACTCGCTCACCCACTCACTCACACACACACTCACACACTCACTCACTCACCCACCCACCCACCCACTCACTCACTCACTCACCCACTCACTCACTCACACACTCACTCACTCACTCACCCACCCACTCACTCACTCACCCACCCACTCACCCACCCACTCACCCACTCACTCACTCAGTTACTCACTCATAGACTCATAGACTCACTCACTCATACACTCACTCACACACTCACTCAGTTACTCATAGACTCCCCACTTACTCACTCACTCACTTACACACTCACCACTCACTCACACATAGACTCACCACTCACTCACCCACTCAGTCACTCACACACTCAGTTACTCACTCATACACTCAGTCACACACTCACTCACCTCACCTCACTCACCCACTCACCACTCACTCACTCACCCACCCACCCACTCACTCACCTACCCACCCACTCACTCACCCACTCACTCACCCACACACTCACTCACTCACTCACCCACACACTCACACACTCACCCACACACTCACTCACCCACCCACTCACTCACTCACTCACCCACTCATTCACTCACTCACTCACCCACTCACTCACTCACCCACTCACTCACTCACTCACCCACTCACCCACTCACCCACTCACTCACTCACCCACTCACTCACCCACTCACTCACTCACTCACAATAACCGTAGTAACCGTGGTAACCGTGGTAACCGTGGTAACCATGGCGACGAGTGCAGGACTACTCTCACGAGTTCCACAGGACCAGGGGTCACGTGGTGCTGAGCAGGGAGCGGGAAGATCTCTTGGGACTTCACAGAGACGGAGAGTGAGACACACACACACAGACACAGTCACACACACAGTCACACACACACAGTCACACACACACAGTCACACACACACACACACAGTCACACACACACACAGTCACACGCACACAGTCACACACAGTCACACACACACAGTCACACACACACAGTCACACACAGTCACACACACAGTCACACACACAGCCACACACAGTCACACACAGTCACACACACACAGCCACACACAGTCACACACACAGTCAAACACACAGCCACACACAGACACACACAGTCACACACACACACACACAGTCACACACAGTCACACAGTCACACACACAGTCAAAGACAAAGACAAAGATCCCCCATATAGCCTTAACAGACTGTAGGGGCAAGTGCTGTTAGCGAGCACCTATGAAGGCCGGAACGGTACACGAGGGGGTGGGGTGGCCAGCACCACGCCCGACCGCCTTTGTCTCCCTAGTGGCAATGTTTACTACACACCGCACCAGGTACTCATTTGAGGCTGAGTCGACCTAGGGGAGGCCCAGGACCGGTTCAGATAATCGTCACTGGTGTTGGCCGTGAGCGGGAATCGAACCCGGGTCGCCAGGTTCATAGCGCAGCGTAGCGCTAACCACTACACTATCGCTCACTCACACACACACACTAACACACACACACACAGACACACAAACACACACACAGTCACACACACACACAGACACACACACAGTCACACACGCACAGTCACACACACACACAGTCACACACACACACACAGTCACAGACACACACAGTCACACACACAGTCACACACACACAGTCACACACAGTCACATACACAGTCACACACACAGTCACACACACACAGCCACACACACAGTCTCACACACACAAACACAGTCACACAGGCACACAGTCACACACACACACGCAGTCACACACAGTCACACACACACGCAGTCACACACACACAGTCACACACACAGTCACACACACACAGTCACACACAGTCACACACAGTCTCACACAGTCACACACACACAGTCACACACACACAGTCACACAGTCACACACACACACACACAGTCTCACACACACACAGTCACACACGCAGTCACACACACACACTCACAGTCACACACACACACACAGTCACACACACAGTGTACACACAGTCACACACACAGTCACAGCCACACACAGTCACACACAGTCACATACACACACACAGTCACACACACAGACACACACACACAATCACACACACACACACACAGTTACACACACACACACATTCACACATACACACAGTCACACATACACAGTCACACACAGTCACACACACACAGTACACACACACAGACACACACACAGTCACCCACACACAGTCACACACAGTCACACACAGTCACACACACACACACAGTCACACACACACACACAGTCACACACACAGTCACACACACAGTCACACACAGTCACACACAGTCACACAGTCACACACACACACAGTCACACACAGACACACACAGTCACACACACAGTACACACACAGTCACACACAGACATACACACACAGTCACACACACAGTCACACACAGTCACACAGACACACACACAGTCACACACACACAGTCACACACACAGTCACACACAGTCACACACAGTCACACACACAGTCACACACACAGTCACACACACACACATAGACACACACACAGGCACACACACAGTCACACAGTCACACACACAGTCACACAGTCACACACACACAGTCACACACAGTCACACACAGTCACACACAGTCACACAGTCACACACACAGACACAGACACACACACACAGTCACACACACACAGTCACACACACACAGTCACACACACAGTCACACACACAGTCACACACAGTCACACACACAGTCACACACACAGTCACACACACAGTCACACACACAGTCACACACACAGTCACACACACAGTCACACACACACAGTCACACACACAGTACACACACAGTTCACACACACAGTACACACACACAGTCACACACACAGTCACACACACAGTCACACACACAGTCACACACAGTCACACACAGTCACACAGTCACACACAACAACCGCCATTCGCCACTAAGTGGCGGTGACGTCACCACGACGCTTGTGCCAGGCTATATTAATTACCACGAAACCACGAGTTAAACTGAAATATGTAACAAATAAGTCACACACACACACAGTCACACACACACAGTCACACACAGTCACACACACACAGTACACACACATAGACACACACACAGTCACACACAGACACACACAGTCACACACACAGTACACACACACAGTCACACACAGACATACACACACAGTCACACACAGTCACACAGACACACACACAGTCACACACACAGTCACACACAGTCACACACACAGTCACACACACACACACACACATAGACACACACATAGACACACACATAGACACACACATAGGCACATACACACACAGTCACACAGTCACACACACACACACAGTCACACACACACACAGTCACACACAGTCACACACAGTCACACAGACACACACACAGTCACACACACACACACACAGACCCACACACACAGTCACACACACACAGACACACACACAATCACACACACACAGTCACACACACACAGTCACACACACAGTCACACACACACAGTCACACACACACAGTCACACACACACAGACACACACACAATCACACACACACACAGTTACACACACACAGTCACAGTCACACACAGTCACACACACACATACACACAAACAGTCACACACACACAGTCACACACACACAGTCACACACAGTCACACACACACAGTCACACACACAGTCACACACAGTCACACACACAGTCACACACAGTCACACACACACAGACACAGTGACACACAGACACAGTGACACACACACACAGTCACACACACACAGTCACACACACAGACACACACACAGACACACACACATAGTCACACACACACACAGACACACAGTCACACACACTCACACACACAGACACACACACAGTCACACACAGTCACACACACATAGACACACACACAGACACACACACAGACACCACACACAGTCACATAGTCACACACACACACACAGTCACACACACACAGTCACACACACACACACAGAGTCACACACACAGTCACACACACAGTCACACACAGTCACACACACAGTCACACACACAGTCACACACACACACACATAGACACACACATAGACACACACACAGGCACCCACACACACAGTCACACAGTCACACACACACACAGTCACACACACACAGTCACACACAGTCACACAGACACACACACACACACACACACAGTCACACACACAGTCACACACACACAGTCACACACACAGTCACACACAGACAGTCACACACACAGTCACACACACAGTCACGCACACAGTCACACACACAGTCACACACAGTCACACACACAGTCACACACACAGTCACACACACACAGTCACACACAGTCACACACACACAGTACACACACACAGTCACACACACACACAGTCACACACAGACACACACAGTCACACACACACAGTACACACACACAGTCACACAGACACACACACAGTCGCACATACACACACACACAGTCACACACACAGTCACACACAGTCACACACAGTCACACACAGACACATGCACAGTCACACACACACAGTCACACACACACAGTCACACACACAGTCACAGTCACACACACACAGATACACACACAGTCACACACAGTCAGACACAGTCACACACAGTCACACACACAGTCACACACACAGTCACACACACAGTCACACACACAGTCACACACACAGTCACACACAGTCACACACACAGTACACACACACAGACACACACACACAGTTACACACACACAGTCACACACACACAGTCACACACACAGTAACACACACAGTCACACACAGTCACACACAGTCACACAGTCACACACAACAACCGCCATTCGCCACTAAGTGGCGGTGACGTCACCACGACGCTTGTGCCAGGCTATATTAATTACCACAAAACCACGAGTTAAACTGAAATATGTAACAAATAAGTCACACACACACACAGTCACACACACACAGTCACACACAGTCACACACACACAGTACACACACATAGACACACACACAGCCACACACAGACACACACAGTCACACACACAGTACACACACACAGTCACACACAGACATACACACACAGTCACACACAGTCACACAGACACACACACAGTCACACACACAGTCACACACACAGTCACACACAGTCACACACACAGTCACACACACACACACACATAGACACACACATAGACACACACATAGACACACACACAGGCACATACACACACAGTCACACAGTCACACACACACACACAGTCACACACACACACAGTCATACACAGTCACACACAGTCACACAGACACACACACAGTCACACACACACAGACCCACACACACAGTCACACACACACACAGTCACACACACACAGTCACACACACACAGTCACACACACAGTCACACACACACAGTCACACACACACAGTCACACACACACAGACACACACACAATCACACACACACACAGTTACACACACACAGTCACAGTCACACACAGTCACACACACACAGTCACACACACAGTCACACAGTCACACACACACATACACACAAACAGTCACACACACACAGTCACACACACACAGTCACAGTCACACACACACAGTCACACACACAGTCACACACAGTCACACACACACAGTCACACACACAGTCACACACAGTCACACACACACAGTCACACACACACAGTCACACACACACAGACACAGTGACACACACACACACAGTCACACACACACAGTCACACACACAGACACACACACATAGTCACACACACACACAGACACACACAGTCACACACACTCACACACACAGTCACACACAGTCACACACACACAGTCACACACAGTCACACACACATAGACACACACACAGACACACACACAGACACCACACACAGTCACACAGTCACACACACACACAGTCACACACACACAGTCACACACACACACACAGTCACACACACAGTCACACACACAGTCACACACAGTCACACACACAGTCACACACACAGTCACACACACAGTCACACACACATAGACACACACATAGACACACACACAGGCACCCACACACACAGTCACACAGTCACACACACACACAGTCACACACACACAGTCACACACAGTCACACACAGTCACACAGACACACACACACACAGTCACACACACACAGTCACACACACACACAGTCACACACACACAGTCACACACACAGTCACACACAGACAGTCACACACACAGTCACGCACACAGTCACACACACAGTCACACACACAGTCACACACACACAGTCACACACAGTCACACACACAGTACACACACACAGACACACACACACAGTCACACACAGACACACACAGTCACACACACACACACAGTACACACACACAGTCACACAGACACACACACAGTCACACATACACACACACAGTCACACATACACAGTCACACATACACACACAGTCACACACAGTCACACACACAGTCACACACACAGACACAGTCACACACACAGACACAGTCACACACAGTGATACACACACACACTGCACACACAGTCACACACAGTCACACACAGACACACACAGTCACATACACACACTCATAACACACACACAGACACACACACAGACACACACACACAGATACAAACACACAGTGTACACACAGACACACACAGACACGCACACACAGTCACACACACACAGACACACACAGTGTACACACACAGTCACACACAGACACACACAGTGTACAGACACAGTCACACACAGACACACACACACACATACACACAGTCACACACACAAACACACACACAGTCACACACACACACAGTCACACACACAGACACACACAGACACACACACACAGACACACACACAGTCACACACACAGTCACACATACAGACACAAAGATCCCCCATATAGCCTTAACAGACTGTAGGGGCAAGTACTGTTAGCGAGCACCTATGAAGGCCGGAACAGTACATGACACACACACACAGTCACACACACACAGTCACACACAGACACACAGACACACACACAGTCACACACACACAGTGACACACACACCCCACACACACACACAGTGACACATACACAGTGACACACACACAGTGACACACACACAGACACACACACACAGACACACACATAACACAGACACACAGACACACACATAACACACAGACACACACACAGACATACACATACAGACACACAGACACACACACAGACACACAGACACACACACACACACAAACACACACACACACATACAGACACACACACACGCACAGACACACACACACAGACACAAAGATCCCCCATATAGCCTCCGACTGTAGGAGCAAGTGCTGTTAGCGAGCACCTATAACACACACAGACACACACACCCAGACACACACAGTCACACAGACACAGACATACACAGACACACACACAGACACAGAGACATACACAGATGATGATGATGCTGCTGCCGCTGATGCTGATGATGATGCTGCTGCTGATGATGATGCTGATGATGCTGCTGATGATGCTGATGACGATGCTGCTGATGATGCTGCTGCTGATGACGATGCTGCTGATGATGCTGCTGCTGATGATGCTGCTGCTGATGATGCTGCTGATGATGCTGCTGATGATGATGATGATGCTGCTGCTGATGCTGATGATGATGCTGATGATGCTGCTGCTGATGATGATGCTGATGACGATGCTGCTGATGATGCTGCTGCTGCTGATGATGCTGCTGCTGATGATGCTGCTGATGATGCTGCTGCTGAAGATGCTGCTGATGATGCTGCTGATGATGATGATGCTGCTGATGATTTTAGCTGATGATGATGATGCTGCTGCTGCTGCTGCTGATGATGCTGCTGCTGCTGATGATGCTGATGATGATGATGCTGCTGCTGCTGATGATGCTGCTGCTGCTGCTGATGATGCTGCTGCTGATGATGCTGATGATGATGCTGATGATGATGCTGCTGCTGATGATGATGATGATGCTGCTGATGATGCTGCTGCTGCTGATGATGATGATGCTGCTGATGATGCTGCTGCTGATGATGCTGATGATGATGCTGCTGATGATACTGCTGATGATGATGATGCTGCTGATGATGCTGCTACTGCTGCTGATGATGATGATGCTGATGATGATGCTACTACTGCTGATGATGCTGCTGCTGATGATGATGCTGATGATGCTGCTGCTGATGATGCTGCTACTGCTGCTGATGATGATGCTGCTGCTGCTGATGATGCTGATGATGATGCTGCTGCTGATGGTGATGATGCTAATGATGATGATGCTGATGATGCTGCTGATGATGCTGCTGATGATGCTGCTGATGGTGCTGATGATGTTGATGATGATGATGCTACTGCTGCTGATGATGATGCTACTGCCGCTGATGATGATGCTGCTGATGATGATGCTGCTGCTGATGATGATGCTCCTGCTGCTGATGATGATGATGCTGATGATGATGATGATGCTGATGATGATGCTGCTGCTGATGATGCTGCTGATGATGCTACTGCTGCTGCTGCTGATGATGCTGATGCTGCTGATGATGCTGATGATGATGCTGATGATGATGCTACTGCTGCTGATGATGATGCTGATGATGATGCTACTGCTGCTGATGATGATGATGATGCTGATGATGATGCTACTGCTGCTGCTGATGATGCTGATGATGATGCTACTGCTGATGATGATGATGCTGATGATGATGCTACTGCTGCTGATGATGATGCTGATGATGATGCTACTGCTGCTGATGATGATGATGCTGATGATGATGATGCTGTTCCAGGTTTAAATCCTCAGCGGCGTCATTGTCCAGCGGAGTGAATCGGCGAACTGAACTCTTCCTGAAGGAGAACCACCACCTACACAAGTGGGTGGTGGTGGTGAGGGTGGTGGTGAGGGTGGTGGTGAGGGTGGTGGTGAGGGTGGTGAGGGTGGTGGTGAGGGTGGTGGTGAGGGTGGTGAGGGTGGTGGTGAGGGTGGTGAGGGTGAGGGTGGTGGTGGTGAGGGTGGTGGTGAGTGGGTGAGTGAATGGATGGGTGGGTGCTAGAGGCTACCTGGGGGATCTTTGTCTGTGTGTGTAGGTGCTGCTACTCGCTACTAACAGCACTTGCCCCTACAGCCTGCTAGAGGCTACCTGGGGGATCTTTGTCTGTGTGTGTGTAGGTGCGTGTGTGTGTAGGTGCTGCTACTCGCTACTAACAGCACTTGCCCCTACAGCCCTGCTAGAGGCTACCTGGGGGATCTTTGTCTGTGTGTGTAGGTGCTGCTACTCGCTACTAACAGCACTTGCCCCTATGGCCTGCTAGAGGCTACCTGGGGGATCTTTGTCTGTGTGTGTGTAGGTGCTGCTACTCGCTACTAACAGCACTTGCCCCTACAGCCTGCTAGAGGCTACCTGGGGGATCTTTGTCTGTAGCTGTGCGCAGAATTTCTGAATCACTCAGCATCCAGTCTCCATGGGTCTGCATTCATTAAGGGTTTCCATGGCAACTGCATTTGCTCACACACAGACACGCACATACACCCACACACACACAGACACACACACGCACACACACACAGACACACATACACAGAGACACACACACACAGAGACACACACACACAGAGACACACACACAGACACACACACAGACACACACACACAGACACACACACACACAGAGACACACACACAGAGAGACACACAGACACAGAGACACACACACACACAGACACACATACACAGAGACACACACACACAGAGACACACACAGACACACACACAGACACACACACACACAGAGACACACACACACACACAGACACACACACAGACACGCACATACACACACACACACAGACACACACACAGACACACACACACAGAGACACACACACAGAGACACACACAGAGACACACACACACACAGACACACACACACAGACACACACACACACAGACACACACACACAGAGACACACACACACAGAGACACACACACACACAGACACACACACACAGACACACACACATCCACAGTACGCACGCACATACACAAAGACACAGTGCACACACACACATGCACGGACACACATTCACAGACACGCATGCACGCACATACACACACGCACGCATGCACGCACGCACACACACGCACACACGCACACACACGCACACACGCACACACACACATACACGCACACACACACGCACACACGCACACACACACGCACACACTCACTCACTCACTCACCCGTTCTCTCGGTGAGAGAGTGAGTGGGTGGGTGAGTGGGTGAGTGGGTGAGTGGGTGGGTGAGTGAGTGGGTGAGTGAGTGGGTGGGTGGGTGGGTGAGTGGGTGGGTGGGTGTGTGTGTGGGTGGGTGGGTGGGTGAGTGGGTGGGTGGGTGGGTGAGTGGGTGAGTGCGTGATTGGTTGGTTGGGGGAGTGAGAGTGGGTGGGTGAGTAGGTGGGTGGGTGAGTGAGTGAGTGCGTGGGTGGGTGGGTGAGTGAGTGGGTGAGTGGGTGGGTGAGTGGGTGAGTGGGTGGGTGAGTTGGTGGGTGAGTGGGTGAGTGGGTGAGTGAGTGGGTGGGTGAGTGAGTGAGTGAGTGGGTGGGTGGGTGGGTGAGTGGGTGGGTGGGTGAGTGGGTGAGTGGGTGGGTGGGTGAGTGGGTGAGTGGGTGGGTGAGTGGGTGAGTGGGTGGGTGGGTGAGTGGGTAGGTGAGTTGGTGAGTGAGTGGGTGAATTGGTGAGTGAGTGGGTGAGTGAGTGAGTGGGTGAGTGGGTGAGTGAGTGAGTGGGTGAGTGAGTGAGTGGGTGAGTGGGTGGGTGAATGAGTGAGTGAGTGGCTGGGTGAGTGAGTTGGTGAGTGAGTGAGTGGGTGAGTGGGTGGGTGGTTGGGTGAGTGTGTGTGTGTACAGGTGGTAGTATCTGACTGTGTGTGTGTGTGTACAGGTGGTAGTATCTGACTGTGTGTGTGTGTGTACAGGTGGTAGTATCTGACTGTGTGTGTGTGTGTGTGTACAGGTGGTAGTATCTGACTGTGTGTGTGTGTGTACAGGTGGTAGTATCTGACTGTGTGTGTGTGTGTGTACAGGTGGTAGTATCTGACTGTGTGTGTGTGTGTGTACAGGTGGTAGTATCTGACTGTGTGTGTACAGGTGGTAGTATCTGACTGTGTGTGTGTGTACAGGTGGTAGTATCTGACTGTGTGTGTACAGGTGGTAGTATCTGACTGTGTGTGTGTGTACAGGTGGTAGTATCTGACTGTGTGTGTACAGGTGGTAGTATCTGACTGTGTGTGTGTGTGTACAGGTGGTAGTATCTGACTGTGTGTGTGTACAGGTGGTAGTATCTGACTGTGTGTGTGTGTACAGGTGGTAGTATCTGACTGTGTGTGTGTGTGTACAGGTGGTAGTATCTGACTGTGTGTGTACAGGTGGTAGTATTTGACTGTGTGTGTACAGGTGGTAGTATCTGACTGTGTGTGTGTACAGGTGGTAGTATCTGACTGTGTGTGTACAGGTGGTAGTATCTGACTGTGTGTGTGTGTACAGGTGGTAGTATCTGACTGTGTGTGTACAGGTGGTAGTATCTGACTGTGTGTGTGTGTGTACAGGTGGTAGTATCTGACTGTGTGTGTACAGGTGGTAGTATCTGACTGTGTGTGTGTGTACAGGTGGTAGTATCTGACTGTGTGTGTACAGGTGGTAGTATCTGGCTGTGTGTGTACAGGTGGTAGTATCTGACTGTGTGTGTGTGTACAGGTGGTAGTATCTGACTGTGTGTGTGTGTGTGTACAGGTGGTAGTAACTGACTGTGTGTGTACAGGTGGTAGTATCTGACTGTGTGTGTGTGTGTGTACAGGTGGTAGTATCTGACTGTGTGTGTACAGGTGGTAGTATCTGACTGTGTGTGTACAGGTGGTAGTATCTGACTGTGTGTGTGTGTGTACAGGTGGTAGTGTCTGACTGTGTGTGTGTGTGTACAGGTGGTAGTATCTGACTGTATGTGTACAGGTGGTAGTATCTGACTGTGTGTGTGTACAGGTGGTAGTATCTGGCTGTGTGTGTACAGGTGGTAGTATCTGGCTGTGTGTGTACAGGTGGTAGTATCTGACTGTGTGTGTGTACAGGTGGTAGTATCTGACTGTGTGTGTGTGTACAGGTGGTAGTATCTGACTGTGTGTGTGTGTACAGGTGGTAGTATCTGACTGTGTGTACAGGTGGTAGTATCTGACTGTGTGTGTGATGTGTTTTGTGTTCACAGCTCCGACCGTCTGATTGATGACACAATCAGGTACGCACACGTGACTGTGCACACGTGACTGTGTACACGTGTGTCACTGTGTGTGTGTGTACACTGTGTGTGTGCACGTGTGTGTGTGCACGTGTGTGTGTGCACTGTGTGTGTGTGCACTGTGTGTGTGTACACGCTGTGTGTGTACACGTGTGTGTGTACACTGTGTGTGTACACTGTGTGTGTACACGTGTGTGTGTATACACTGTGTGTGTGTACCTGTGTATATACCTGTGTGTACGCAGGTGTGTGTGTGTATGTGTGTGTGTATACGTGTTTGTGTGTGTACACGTGTGTGTGTACACTGTACGTGTGTGTGTTTACACGTGTGTGTACACTGTGTGTGTGTACACTGTGTGGGTTTATACACTGTGTGTGTGTACACGTGTGTGTGTGTACACTGTGTGTGTACCTGTGTGTGTACCTGTGTGTACACGTGTGTACACGTGTGTCTGTGTACGCGTGTGTGTGTGTACGTGTGTGTACGTGTGTGTGTACACGTGTGTGTGTGGACGTGTGTACGTGTGTTTGTACACGTGTGTGTGTGTGTACACGTGTGTGTGTGTGTACACGTGTGTGTGTGTGGACGTGTGTGTACACGTGTGTGTGTGTACGTGGGTGTGTACACGTGTGTGTGTGTGCACTGTGTACACGTGTTTGTGTGTACACTGTGTGTGTACACGTGTGTGTGTGTACACTGTGTGTGTACACGTGTTGGTGTGTCTGTACACGTATGTGTGTGTACACTGTGTGTCTACACGTGTCTGTGTATACACTGTGTGTGTACACGTGTGTGTGTGTACACGTGTGTGTGTGTACACGTGTGTGTTCGTGTGTTTGTACACGTGTGTGTGTGCGCACTGTGTGTACACGTGTGTGTACACGTGTGTGTGTACACGTGTGTGTGTACACGTGTGTGTGTGTACACGTGTACACGTGTGTGTGTGTACACGTGTACACGTGTGTGTGTGTACACGTGTACACGTGTGTATACACTGTGTGTGTACACTGTGTGTGTGTGTGTGTACACTGTGTGTGTGTGTGTGTACACTGTGTGTGTACACTGTGTGTGTACACGTGTGTGTACTCGTGTGTGTGTGTACACATGTGTGTGTGTACACTGTGTGTACACGTGTGTGTGTGTGTACACGTGTGTGTGTGTGTGTGTACACTGTGTGTGTACACATGTGTGTGTACACGTGTGTGTGTATGTGTGTGTACACTGTGTGTGTGTGTACACGTGTGTGTGTATGTGTGTGTACACTGTGTGTGTACACGTGTGTGTGTGTGTACGTGTGTTGGGAGCGGTGGTGTAGTGGTTAGCGCTATGCAGCAGGGAGAAAACGCTCATCTCAGTGTAGTAGTGTATAGTGTAGTGTATGGTAGTGTAGTGTATAGTGTAGTGTATAGTAGTGTAGTGTATAGTGTAGCAGTGTATAATGTAGCAGTGTATAGTGTAGTGTATAGTAGTGTATAGTGTAGTGTATAGTAGTGTATAGTGTAGTGTAGTGTATAGTAGTGTAGTGTGTAGTGTATAGTAGTGTATAGTGTAGTGTATAGTAGTGTATAGTGTAGTGTATAGTAGTGTATAGTTGTGTGTAGTGTATAGTGTAGTGTGTAGTGTATAGTGTAGTGTATAGTGTAGTGTGTAGTAGTGTAGTGTATAGTGTAGTGTATAGTAGTGTAGTGTATAGTAGTGTAGTGTATAGTAGTGTATAGTGTAGTGTATAATAGTGTAGTGTATAGTTTAGTGTATAGTAGTGTAGTGTATAGTGTAGTGTATAGTAGTGTAGTGTATAGTAGTGTATAGTGTAGTGTATAGTAGTGTAGTGTATAGTGTAGTGTATAGTGTAGTAGTGTATAGTAGTGTAGTGTATAGTGTAGTGTAGTAGTGTATAGTGTAGTAGTGTATAGTTGTATAGTGTAGTAGTGTATAGTGTAGTAGTTTATAGTGTAGTAGTGTATAGTGTAGTAGTGTATAGTGTAGTAGTGTATAGTGTAGTGTATAGTGTAGTGTATAGTGTAGTAGTGTGTAGTGTATAGTGTAGTAGTGTAGTGTATAGTAGTGTATAGTGTAGTGTATAGTAGTGTATAGTAGTGTGTAGTGGTGTAGTGTATAGTGTAGTGTATAGTGTAGTGTATAGTAGTGTAGTGTATAATGGTGTAGTGTATAGTGTAGTGTATAGTGTAGTGTTTAGTGTATTGTATAGTGTAGTGTAGAGCGGCACGCTAACCACTGCACCACCGCTCCCCATTCACTCACACACCCACCCACTCACTCACCCACCCACCCACTCACTCACCCACTCACTCACCCACCCACTCACTCACCCATCACCCACCCACTCACCCACTCACCCACCCACTCACCCACCCACTCACTCACTCACCCACCCACTCACTCACCCACCCACCCACCCACTCACTCACCCACCCACTCACTCACCCACCCACCCACTCACTCACCCACCCACCCACTCACTCACCCACCCACCCACTCACTCACCCACCCACCCACTCACTCACCCACCCACCCACCCACTCACTCACCCACCCACCCACTCACTCACCCACCCACCCACCCACTCACTCACCCACCCACTCACCAACTCACTCACTCACTCACCCACTCACTCACCCACCCACCCACTCACTCACCCACCCACCCACTCACCCACTCACCCACCCACCCACTCACCCACCCACTCACTCACTCACCCACCCACTCACCCACTCAACCACTCACCCACCCACTCACCCACCCACTCACTCACCCACTCACCCACCCACTCACCCACCCACTCACTCACCCACCCACCCACTCACCCACCCACCCACTCACCCACTCACTCACCCACCCACCCACTCACTCACTCACCCACCCACTCACCCACCCACTCACCCACTCACCCACTCACCCACCCACTCACCCACCCACTCACCCACTCACCCACCCACTCACCCACCCACTCACTCACCCACCCACTCACCCACTCACCCACATGGCTGTATCTATCTCTCTCTCTGCTCTCATCTATTATGCATTGGCTCTTTTGTGCCAGGGGGGATATTAAATGTTTTTGTGTGCACACACACATACAGTAGACACATACAGTAGACACATACAGTACACACATACAGTACACACATACAGTACACACATACAGTGCGCATATACAGTACATACACGCACGTACTGTACACATACAGTACACGCATACAGCACAACACTCATACAGTACACGCATATACAGTACACCTATACAGTGCACACAGTACACACACAGTACACACACAGTACACACACACACAGTACACACAGAGTACACACACACGGTACACACAGTACACACACACAGTACACACACACACAGTACACACAGTACACACACACACAGTACACACACACAGTACACACACAGTATATATACACACAGTACACACACAGTACACACAGTACACACACACAGTACACACAGTACACACACACAGTACACACACACACACAGTACGCACACACAGTACACACACACGGTACACACAGTACACACACACACAGTACACACACACAGAGTACACACACACAGTACACACACACAGTACACACAGTACACACACAGTACACACACACAGTACACACACACAGTACACACAGTACACACACACAGTACACACACACAGTACACACACACGGTACACACAGTACACAGTACACACACAGTACACACACAGTACACACAGTACACACACACAGTACACACAGTACACACACACAGTACACACAGTACACACACACAGTACACACACACAGTACACACACACACACACGGTACACACACACAGTACACACACACAGTACACACACAGTACACACACACGCAGTACGCACAACACACACAGTACACACAGAGTACACACACAGTACACAGTACACACACAGTACACACACAGTACACACACACAGTACACACACACAGTACACACACAGTACACACACTCACAGTACACACACACAGTATGTACACACACAGTACACACACACAGTACACACACACAGTACACACACACAGTACACACACAGTACACACAGTACACAGTACACACACACAGTATGTACACACAGTACACACACTCAGTATACACACAGTATACACACTCACAGTACACACACAGTACACACACACAGTACACACACAGTATACACACTCACAGTACACACACTCACAGTACACACACACAGTACACACACACAGTATATACACACAGTACACACACACACACAGTACACACACACAGTATACACACACAGTATATACACACAGTGCACACACACAGTATGCACAGTACACACAGTACACGCACACAGTACACACAGTACACACACAGCACACACACAGTATACACACACACAGTACACGTAAATAATACGTGCATGTGCCTGTGTGTTCACCTGCCTGTGTGTATGTGTGACTGTGTGTGTGTGTGACTGTGTGTGTGACTGTCTGTGTGTGTGTGTGACTGTGTCTGTGTGTATGTGTGTCTGTGTGTATGTGTGTCTGTGTGTATGTGTGTATGTGTGTCTGTGTGTGTGTCTGTGTGTGTATGTGTGTGTCTGCGTGTGTGAGTCTGTGTGTGTGTGTGAGTGTGTGTCTGTGTGTGTATGTGTCTGTGTGTGTCTTTGTGTGTTTCTGTCTCTATGCGAGTGTGTTTGTTGTTGTGTCTGTGTGTGTGTGTGACTGTGTGTGTGTGTGTGACTGTGTGTGTGTGTGTGTGCAAAACAACCCCCTACCTCCTCGCGGTGCCGGACGGGCAACTCTGTCGTGGACAGTGCTGTGGGGGGAGGGCCAATTCGGATTGGCTCCTCCCCTCGTGGCGTCTGTGTCCACCACAGGGGCTAAACGGGGGCTCTGGATGGGTGCGAGGGGCTGGTAACCCCTCCACCTTCAATTAATTACCACTAAACCACGAGTTAAACTGAAATATGTAACTAATAAGCTTGTGCCGGAGGCCCCGGGGGGACAGGCGTCTATGACGTCTCCTGGCCAAACCCCATTTGGCGGAGCCAGGAGATTGAATATCCACACTCGGGGCCCCTCCAGAAACAACGAAAAGCTACTACGGATGGCCACGTGGAATGTTCGAATGCTCACTGCGGAGGAGAGGCTGCCACTCCTCTGTCGGGAGCTGGACCGGTACCGCCTGGATCTGTGTGGCATTCAGGAGGTCCGGTGGACCGGTTCAAATCTCTATTTAACTCAATCAAAAAAGTAACCTGCAGCGCCACACCTATTACCATCATTAGGGGAAAAAACGGTGATCCAATCTCCGACCCCCAGGAACAGGTTTGCAGATGTGCTGAGCATTTCTGTGAGGTCCTGGGAGAGGGAAAATCCCTCAGCCAGGAAAACATCGTGGCACAAAGTGAGGATGACCCTGCTGAGGCTGCGGTGCCTCAAATATTGGAAGAAGTCACCCCCTGTGAGTGGCTGGCTGAGGTGCCATCTGTTGAGGAAGTACTGAGGGCGATCCGGAGTCTGAGACCAGGAAAGGCAGCGGGCAGAGATGATCTTCTAAGCGAAATGCTGAGGGAGGGTGGCGTTTATGCACAGACTGCCCTATATGACATCATAACAACAGTCTGGACCACTGGACGGGTTCCGCAGGATTAGAAGGATGCCCTGGTGGTCCCCCTTTTTGAGAATGGGGACCGCACAGACTGTAACAACTACAGGGGCATTTCACTCCTCAGTGTGCCTGGAAAGGTCCTGGCAAGGATTATTTAGCATCGCCTTGCCAGGCACGCTGAGGAGAGGCTTGCGGAGCCCCAATGCGGTTTCAGGAAAGGGCGGTCCTGCACAGATGCCATATTTTCTGTCCGTCTGCTACAGCAGAGGTGTAGGGAATTCCAAAAAGACCTACATCTCTGCTTTATTGACCTGGTCAAGGCCTATGATACCATCAGTAGGCCTGGGCTCTGGGTCGTTCTTCGTGCTTTTGGAGTACCTGACCCTCTGCTCACGATCATTAAGGACCTTCATGATGGTGAGCGGGCCCGGGTAAAACTACGTGGCCGGGAGTCAGAGCCATTCCCTGTACACCTTGGGGTGCGACAGGGAAGTCCTCTGGCTCCCACATTATTTAACATCTATTTTGACCACGTAGTTCGTGAAGCCTTCATTAGCTGTACCGGGGAAATCTCCATATGGTACAGATAGAATGGGAGGCTGATCGATGCCCGGGTGCAGTCAAGGGATGGCTCCCTATTGGTCAACCACGTTATGTATGCTGATGATTTGGTAATAGCTGCTCATTCAGAGGAGGAGTTGGAGACGCTGCTGCTGAGACTGGAGCGTGTCACTAAGAGGTGGGGCCTTACCATCAGCCCCACCAAAACTAAGCACCTGCCTGGGTATTTTGTACCATCGGACACTCCACCCCCACAACTCCCAATCGGTGATGGGGCAGTTGTGGAGCGAGTGAAGAGTTTCCCATACCTGGGCAGTGTGCTTATGACCGGCTCCAGTTTAACAGCAGAGGTCTCACTCCGAATCAGTCGAGCGGCAATATCTTTTCATCGGTTGCGTAACGCTGTGTGGAAGCTACCTGGTCTGTCGCTCCGCACTAAGCTTCAGGTCTTCTCGGCCACGGTCATTTCCTCCCTTCTCTACGCTTGCGAAACGTGGACCCCCCTAATGGAACATCTTCGCCGGTTAGAAACATTTAGGCTGGCCTGCCTGTGATCCATCCTGGGTTTAACCAGACTGGATTGTGTGAGGAGCTCACAAATCCTTGAAAGATCTGGGCAAGGTCCCATCGGTGAGCTCCTCCGGCAGGCAAGGCTGCGATGGCTGGGTCATGTAGCCCGCATGCCCAGCCACCGCATGCCGAAACAGCTTTTGTTCGGCCGGATTGAGGGGGCTAAACGGGCGCGGCACGGGCTAGAGAAGAGATGGAGTGATGTGGTACAGGAGGACGTGGAGCTGAGTGGACTTGCCGATGACTGGTACCAGCGGTGTCAAGATCGGCCTCTGTGGAGGAGGCTCGTGAAGGACGCTACTGGGCGGTTGGAGGTAGTCGCCCTCCAACAACAACGGAGGGCGGAGGAGCGACGCTCACAATAACGAGCGGAGCGCCGGGTGGCTAAAGCACAGCAGGTTGGCACAGTAGGGGGCACAGGTGGTGCATCAGCCAGTCATCTCAGTCAGTCGACCCGTGGCACCTGGGTCTGCCCCGTGACCTCCTGCCAGCGGGCGTTCGACACTCCACGTGGCCTCACGGTGCACATAGCCGGGCACAAGCGTCGTGGTGACGTCACCGCCACTTAGTGGCGAATGGCGATTGTTGTTGTTGTTGTGTGACTGTGTGTGTGTCACTGTGTGTGTGTGTGTCACTGTGTGTGTGTGTGTGACTGTGTGTGTGTGTGACTGTGTGTGTGACTGTGTGTGTGTGACTGCGTGTGTGTGTCACTGTGTGTGTGACTGTGTGTGTGACTGTGTGTGTGTGACTGCGTGTGTGTGTGTCTGTGTGTGTGTGTGACTGTGTGTGTGTGACTGTGTGTGACTGTGTGTCTGTGTGTTTGCGTGCCCAGCATTGCGATGGCGACGAAGGAGAAGCTGACGTCACAGCGAGGAGTTTACCGCTCGATCCAGAGCAAGGTGAACAGCCTGGCACGTATCCTGTGGATGAGTGAGTGGGTGGGTGGGTGAGTGGGTGGGTGGGTGAGTGGGTGGGTGAGTGGGTGGGTGGGTGGGTGAGTGGGTGGGTGAGTGGGTGGGTGGGTGAGTGAGTGAGTGAGTGGGTGAGTGGGTGGGTGGGTGGGTGAGTGGGTGGGTGGGTGGGTGAGTGGGTGGGTGGGTGGGTGAGTGGGTGGGTGGGTGGGTGGGTGGGTGGGTGGGTGGGTGAGTGGGTGGGTGGGTGGGTGAGTGGGTGGGTGGGTGAGTGGGTGGGTGGGTGAGTGGGTGAGTGAGTGAGTGAGTGGGTGGGTGAGTGGGTTGGTGGGTGAGTGAGTGGGTGGGTGGGCGAGTGAGTGGGTGGGTGAGTGGGCGAGTGAGTGGGTGGGTGAGTGAGTGAGTGGGTGGGTGAGTGAGTGAGTGAGTGAGTGGGTGGGTGGGTGGGTGAGTGGGTGGGTGAGTGAGTGGGTGGGTGGGTGAGTGAGTGAGTGAGTGGGTGAGTGGGTGAGTGAGTGAGTGGGTGAGTGGGTGGGTGGGTGGGTGAGTGGGTGGGTGAGTGAGTGGGTGAGTGGGTGAGTGGGTGAGTGGGTGAGTGGGTGGGTGATTGGGTGGGTGGGTGAGTGAGTGGGTGGGTGAGTGGGTGGGTGGGTGAGTGGGTGGGTGGGTGGGTGAGTGAGTGGGTGGGTGAGCGAGTGGGTGGGTGAGCGAGTGAGTGGGTGAGCGAGTGGGTAGATGAATGAGTGGGTGGGTGAGTGAGTGGGTGGGTGGGTGGGCGAGTGGGTGGGCGAGTGAGTGAGCGGGTGGGTGAGTGAGTGAGCGGGTGGGTGAGTGGGTGATTGGGTGAGCGAGTGGGTGGGTGAGCGAGTGGGTGGGTGAGCGAGTGGGTTGATGATTGAGTGGGTGGGTGAGTTAGTGGGTGGGTGGGTGGGTGAGTGGGTGGGTGAGCGAGTGGGTGGGTGAGCGAGTGAGTGAGTGGGTGAGTGAGTGGGTGGATGAATGAGTGGGTGGGTGAGTGAGTGGGTGGGTGGGTGAGTGGGTGGGTGGGTGAGTGGGTGGGTGGGTGGGCGAGTGGGTGGTCGAGTGAGTGAGCGGGTGGGCGAGTGAGTGAGCGGGTGGGCGAGTGAGTGAGCGGGTGGGTGAGTGGGTGATTGGGTGAGCGAGTGGGTGGGTGAGCGAGTGGGTGGATGATTGAGTGGGTGGATGATTGAGTGGGTGGGTGAGTTAGTGGGTGGGTGGGTGATTGGGTGAGCGAGTGGGTGAGCGGTTGAGCGAGTGGGTGGGCGAGTGAGTGGGTGGGTGAGTGGGTAAGTGGGTTGGCGAGTGGGTGAGCGGGTGAGTGGGTGAGTAAGTGGGTGGGTGAGCGAGTGGGTGGGTGAGTGAGTGGGTGGGTGAGCGAGTGGGTGGGTGAGTGAATGAGTGGGTGAGTGAGTGGGTGGGTGGGTGAGTGAGTGGGTGGGCGAGTGAGTGAGCGGGTGGGTGAGTGAGTGAGTGAGCGGGTGGGTGAGTGGGTGATTGGGTGAGCGAGTGGGTGGGTGAGCGAGTGGGTGGGTGAGCGAGTGGGTGGATGATTGAGTGGGTGGGTGAGTTAGTGGGTGGGTGGGTGATTGGGTGAGCGAGTGGGTGAGCGGGTGAGCGAGTGGGTGGGCGAGTGAGTGAGTGGGTGAGTGAGTGAGTGGGTGAATGGGTGGGTGGGTGAGTGGGTGGGTGGGTGAGTGGGTGAGTGAGTGGGTGAGTGAGTGGGTGGGTGGGTGAGTGGGTGGGTGGGTGGGTGGGTGAGTGGGTGAGTGAGTGGGTGGGTGGGTTACTAACAAGAAACTCTGCGAAATATGATCCTTGACCCCGACGCCTCTCCACAACAACCACCACCACCCCCACCACCATCACCACCACCAACCCAAACCCCCACCCTCAACACCCCCACCACCACCCCCACCCTCACCACCACCACCACCACCCCCACCACCACCACCACCACCCCCACCACCACCACCACGTGGTTGTGGCGATGTCTGCAGATCGATTTCCGCTGGTCAACAGCCTTCTGCAGCGGATCGCCGTTCGCAAGCGGAGAGATGCCCTGGTCCTGGCGACCATCACCGCAACCTGCATCATCATCCTGATACTCTACAGCCTGCACTAGCACAACAACCACAACAACCACAACAACAACAACCACAACAACAACCACAACAACAACCACTACAACTACTACCACTACAACTACTACCACTACTACTACCACAACTACTACCACCATCACCGCAACCTGCATCATCATCCTGATACTCTACAGCCTGCACTAGCACAACAACAACCACAACAACAACCACAACAACAATCACAACTACAACCACAACTACAACAACTACTAGAACTACCACAACTACTACCACCATCACCGCAACCTGCATCATCATCCTGATACTCTACAGCCTGCACTAGCACAACCACAACAACCACAACAACAACCACAACAACCACAACAACTACCACAACAACCACCACAACAACAACCACTAGAACTACCACAACTACTACCACCATCACCGCAACCTGCATCGTCATCCTGATACTCTACAGCCTGCACTAGCACAACAACCACAACAACAACCACAACAACTAGCACAACAACCACAACAACCACCACAACCACAACAACAACCACAACAACCACCACAACCACCACAACAACTACCACAACCACCACAACTACCACAACTACTACCAGCACCACAACTACAACTACAACCACTACAACTACTACCACCACCACCACAACTACTACCACCACTACTACCACTACTAATACCACTACCACCACAACTACAGCCACTACCACAACAACCACCACCACTACCACCACAACCACAGCTACTACCACCACCACAGCCTGCATCATCCTGCTACTATACGCCCTGCACTAGCACCACAACTACAACAACTACAACTACAACAACCACAACAACTACAACAACTACAACTACAACAACCACAACTACAACAATCACCACCACAACTACAACAATAACCACCACAACTACTACAACTACTACCACCACTACTACAACCACCACAACCACCACCACCACAACCACCACCACAACTACAACTACTACCACCACTACTACAACCACCACAACCACAACTACAACCACCACAACCACCACCACTACTACAACCACCACAACCACCACCACTACTACAACCACCACAACCACCACCACAACTACTGGGTGGATGAGCGAGTTTGGTGAGTGGTTGAGTGGGTGAGTGAGTAGGTGAGTGAGTGAGTAGATGAGTGAGTGAGTAGGTGAGTGAGTAGGTGAGTGAGTAGGTGAGTGAGTGAGTAGGTGAGTGAGTGAGTAGGTGAGTGAGTGAGTGGGTGAGTGAGTAGGTGAGTGAGTGAGTAGGTGAGTGAGTGAGTAGGTGAGTGAGTAGGTGAGTGTGTGGGTGAGTGGGTGAGTGAGTGATTGTGTGAGTGAGTGAGTGAGTAGGTGAGTGAGTGGGTGAGTGAGTGGGTGAGTGAGTAGGTGAGTGAGTGGGTGAGTGAGTAGGTGAGTGAGTGAGTAGGTGAGGCGAGTGGGTGAGTGAGTGGGTGAGTGAGTGAGTGAGTAGGTGAGTGAGTGTGTGGGTGAGTGTGTGAGCGAGTAGGTGAGTGGGTCAGTGTGTGGGTGAGTGTGTGAGTGAGTAGGTGAGTGTGTGGGTGAGTGAGTGGGTGAGTGTGTGGGTGAGTGAGTGGGTGAGTGTGTGGATGAGTGTGTGGGTGAGTGAGTGGGTGAGTGTGTGGATGAGTGAGTAGGTGAGTGAGTAAGTGAGTGAGTAGGTGAGTGAGTGGGTGAGTGAGTGGGTGAGTGAGTGGGTGAGTGAGTGGGTGAGTGAGTAGGTGAGCGAGTGAGTAGGTGAGCGAGTGAGTAGGTGAGCGAGTGAGTAGGTGAGCGAGTGAGTAGGTGAGCGAGTGAGTAGGTGAGCGAGTGAGTAGGTGAGCGAGTGAGTAGGTGAGCGAGTGAGTAGGTGAGTGAGTGAGTAGGTGAGTGTGTGGGTGAGCGAAACCGCGACGCAGAGCGCTGCGATTGGCCGCAGTTGGTCACGTGACGCCCCCCCCCCTCCCCAGCACCCCCCCCCCTCCGCTGCTGTGACGCTCAGTGAGGACACGTGAGCGAGTCCAGGGCTCTGATTGGACGATTTTTCTCGCTCTTTGTGACGTCACGTTTGTCGGCGGTTGCCATGGCAACAATAAAACACGAGGTCATGAAATTTTTTCATTTGTCTGTGTGAGTCTGTGGGTCTCTGTGTGGTGAGTCTATGGTCTCTGTGTGAGTGAGTCTATGGGTCTCTGTGTGAGTGAGTCTATGGGTCTCTGTGTGAGTGAGTCTATGGGTCTCTGTGTGAGTGAGTCTGTGGGTCTCTGTGTGAGTGAGTCTATGGGTCTCTGTGTGAGTGAGTATGGGTCTCTGTGTGAGTGAGTCTATGGGTCTCTGTGTGAGTGAGTCTATGGGTCTCTGTGTGAGTGAGTCTATGGGTCTCTGTGTGAGTGAGTCTATGGGTCTCTGTGTGAGTGAGTCTATGGGTCTCTGTGTGAGTGAGTCTATGGGTCTCTGTGTGAGTGAGTCTATGGGTCTCTGTGTGAGTGAGTCTATGGGTCTCTGTGTGAGTGAGTCTATGGGTCTCTGTGTGAGTGAGTCTATGGGTCTCTGTGTGAGTGAGTCCATGGGTCTCTGTGTGAGTGAGTCTATGGGTCTCTGTGTGAGTGAGTCTATGGGTCTCTGTGTGAGTGAGTCTATGGGTCTCTGTGTGAGTGAGTCTATGGGTCTCTGTGTGGTGAGTCTGTGGGTCTCTGTGTGAGTGAGTCTGTGGGTCTCTGTGTGAGTGAGTCTGTGGGTCTCTGTGTGAGTCTATGGGTCTCTGTGTGGTGAGTCTGTGGGTCTCTGTGTGAGTGAGTCTATGGGTCTCTGTGTGAGTGAGTCTGTGGGTCTCTGTGTGAGTGAGTCTGTGGGTCTCTGTGTGAGTGAGTCTATGGGTCTCTGTGTGGGTGAGTCTATGGGTCTCTGTCTGAGTGAGTCTATGGGTCTCTGTGTGATGAGTCTATGGGTCTCTGTGTGAGGGAGTCTATGGGTCTCTGTGTGAGTCTATGGGTCTCTCTGTGAGTGATTCTATGGGTCTCTGAGTGAGTCTACGGGTCTCTGTGAGTGAGTCTATGGGTCTCTGTGCGAGTGAGTCTATGGGTCTCTGTGTGAGTGAGTCTATGGGTCTCTGTGTGAGTGAGTCTATGGGTCTCTGTGTGAGTGAGTCTATGGGTCTCTGTGTGGTGAGTCTGTGGGTCTCTGTGTGAGTCTATGGGTCTGTGTGAGTGAGTCTATGGATCTCTGTGTGAGTGAGTCTATGGGTCTCTGTGTGAGTGAGTCTGTGGGTCTCTGTGTGAGTGAGTCTATGGGTCTCTGTGCGAGTGAGTCTATGGGTCTCTGTGCGAGTGAGTCTATGGGTGTCTCTGTGTGAGTGAGTCTGTGGGTCTCTGTGTGAGTGAGTCTATGGGTCTCTGTGAGTGAGTCTAGGGGTCTCTGTGTGAGTGAGTCTATGGGTCTCTGTGTGAGTGAGTCTATGGGTCTCTGTGTGAGTGAGTCTATGGGTCTCTGTGTGAGTCTATGGGTCTCTGTGTGGTGAGTCTATGGGTCTCTGTGTGAGTGAGTCTATGGGTCTCTGTGTGACTGAGTCTATGGGTCTCTGTGTGACTGAGTCTATGGGTCTCTGTGTGGTGAGTCTGTGGGTCTCTGTGTGAGTGAGTCTATGGGTCTCTGTGTGAGTGAGTCTATGGGTCTCTGTGTGAGTGAGTCTATGGGTCTCTGTGTGAGTGAGTCTATGGGTCTCTGTGTGAGTGAGTCTATGGGTCTCCGTGCGATTGAGTCTATGGGTCTCTGTGTGAGTCTATGGGTCTCTGTGTGAGTGAGTCTATGGGTCTCTGTGTGAGTGAGTCAATGGGTCTCTGTGTGAGTGAGTCTATGGGTCTCTGTGTGAGTGAGTCTATGGGTCTCTGTGTGGTGAGTCTGTGGGTCTCTGTGTGAGTCTATGGGTCTCTGTGTGAGTGAGTCTATGGGTCTCTGTGTGAGTGAGTCTATGGGTCTCTGTGTGAGTGAGTCTATGGGTCTCTGTGTGAGTGAGTCTGTGGGTCTCTGTGTGAGTGAGTCTATGGGTCTCTGTGTGAGTGAGTCTGTGTGTCTCTGTGTGAGTGAGTCTATGGGTCTCTGTGTGAGTGAGTCTATGGGTCTCTGTGTGAGTGAGTCTGTGGGTCTCTGTGTGAGTGAGTCTATGGGTCTCTGTGTGAGAGAGTCTATGGGCCTCTGTGTGAGTGAGTCTATGGGTCTCTGTGTAAGTGAGTCTATGGGTCTCTGTTTGAGTGAGTCTATGGGTCTCTGTGTGAGTGAGTCTATGGCTCTCTGTGTGAGTCTATGGGTCTCTGTGTGACTGAGTCTATGGGTCTCTGTGTGAGTCTATGGCTCTCTGTGTGAGTCTATGGCTCTCTGTGTGAGTGAGTCTATGGGTCTCTGTGTGAGTGAGTCTGTGGGTCTCTGTGTGAGTGAGTCTATGGGTCTCTGTGTGACTGAGTCTATGGGTCTCTGTGTGAGTGAGTTTATGGGTTTCTGTGTGAGCAAGTCTGTGGGTCTTTGTGTGAGTCTGTGGGTCTCTGTGTGGTGAGTCTGTGGGTCTCTGTGTGAGTCTATGGGTCTCTGTGTAAGTGAGTCTATGGGTCTCTGTTTGAGTGAGTCTATGGCTCTCTGTGTGAGTGAGTCTATGGGTCTCTGTGTGAGTGAGTCTATGGCTCTCTGTGTGAGTCTATGGGTCTCTGTGTGATTGAGTCTATGGGTCTCTGTGTGAGTCTATGAGTCTCTGTGTGAGTGAGTCTATGGGTCTCTGTGTGAGTGAGTCAATGGGTCTCTGTGTGAGTGAGTCTATGGGTCTCTGTGTGAGTGAGTCTATGGGTCTCTGTTTGAGTGAGTCTATGGGTCTCTGTGTGAGTGAGTCTATGGCTCTCTGTGTGAGTCTATGGGTCTCTGTGTGAGTGAGTCTATGGGTCTCTGTGTGAGTCTATGGGTCTCTGTGTGAGTGAGTCTATGGATCTCTGTGTGAGTGAGTCTGTGGGTCTCTGTGTGAGTGAGTCTGTGGGTCTCGGTGTGAGTCTATGGGTCTCTGTGTGAGTGAGTCTATGGGTCTCTGTGTGAGTGAGTCTATGGGTCTCTGTGTGAGTGAGTCTATGTCTCTTTGTGTGGTGAGTCTATGGGTCTCTGTGTGAGTGAGTCTATGGGTCTCTGTGTGAGTCTATGGGTCTCTGTGTGAGTCTATGGCTCTCTGTGTGAGTGAGTCTATGGGTCTCTGTGTGAGTGAGTCTATGGGTCTCTGTGTGAGTGATTCTATGGGTCTCTGTGTGAGTGAGTCTATGGGTCTCTGTGTGAGTGAGTCTATGGGTCTCTGTGTGAGTGAGTCTATGGGTCTCTGTGTGAGTGAGTCTATGGGTCTCTGTGTGAGTGAGTCTATGGGTCTCTGTGTGAGTGAGTCTATGGGTCTCTGTGTGACTGAGTCTATGGGTCTCTGTGTGAGTGAGTCTGTGGGTCTCTGTGTGAGTGAGTCTGTGGGTCTCTGTG